TGGCTGGTGGGGGCTGCGCCAAACTTGCGGGAGCTTTTTCCCCTTGGAAGTTTTGCGTTGCATTTCCTAACACGAGTGCCGCAGCGGGGTGGGTTTTTTTATTATTTATTTTTTTTCTCTTGTCACATGTTTTAACGTCAGTGCAGAAATGCTAATCTTTCTGGAACTGTGTAAAGTCGTTGCTCTAGCGGCAAAATTAAAAGCAGAGCTTTAAAGTGCTGCGTTAGAGTCTGTATGGATCATTGTGCATCTCCATCTCATGCTTTCGTAAACGGTTCACCTTGTAACCTGCAGTTTGTCATTTTGTGATGTTCGTATAGATTCTGTTAAGGCTTTGGGGGAATTTTGTTACAAGATCTCTGTTTATATTTTTTTTCTAGCGCTACTGTTGCTTTTTATATTGTTTTGTATATTAAACGTTTGCTATTGTTTAAACTACTGCATTTATTTTTTGCTATTTAAATACTAATGACATTCTTGGGATCTTTGAGATAACCAGATACTCTGGATCACAGTTGGAATACCCACGCTCCATATAAACTGTAGAGATGTTGTTTGGCAGCTGAAGGCTTGAACGCTTCTCGGTCTGCAGGAAAAAGCACTGTCTGTCACCTCAATAATCAATAAAGTATTTGGCTTGAAAAAATGTCGCTTGCATCACACTGTTAATGTTGCCAAGAACAGGTTCTAAGGGGGGTGGCAAGAAAGTTGAATTTGTTTTCTCTCATGTTCCAGTAATTCCGTCTCGGGGAACAATTAAATTAAAAAACCCCAAAATTGCTATGACTGAAATTTTTGTGGCACGTCTGCGGACGTGAATGTCCATTGGCAACCTAATTTGGTTCTCAGGTGCCTTTGGCAAACAGATAAAGGAGGGTGAGAATGGACTTGAAGTCAGAACTGAAAAGCAGGGAATACAAGAGCAGGAAAGAAGGGGAAGCATCAGAAACGTGCAAGGGGAAAAATGTTCCATTGAAAGTTATCTCTGTAGGCGTTTTGCCTGTCTTCCACGGATCAGAAAGACATTGCAGCCAGAGCAGTTGAGAGCATTAAACTGGAGGTGAGCGAGGTGTAAAGTCTGGACTCTCTTGTCTAATCTCCGTGGTGCTGGTACCTCCTGAAAGCTGTAAGCCTGGTCGTAGGAAGAACAGAAGTTGTTGTGGTTTTGAATAGGCATGGCCATTCTAGAAAATGTGAAGAACTGTTTAAATGGAGAGTTTACTCATAAGCCGCATGGTTGTTTGCATTAATTACGATGGTGAAAAAAACAGCCTTAATTTTTGTGTTTGTACAATGAAACATTATGTATAGCCTGAAGGACTGCTGGCCTTCCCGCCACAATATCACTGCATTTCTTGGTTTTGTGAAATGAGAAGAAATCCTGAAAATAGTGGAATGGTATCTAAAGTGAATTTTGTTCAAGTAAACACAGAGAATGAAAGCCATAGTTCACAGGGGCAAGAAAAGCGTCTGTAAACTCTGCCAGAACCATTGGGTAACTGGAGAAGTTGTTGTAGGAACATGACGGGTGTTTATTCTCCATGTTTGTTGAATTTTTTAAAATTTGTTTGTTGGCATCTAAGGATAGGCCTAGTCAAGGGCAGCTGTAGTGGGTTTTATTGTGAAATAGATGTCAATAAGCTGGATTTCTCTAATAAATGTTATCAAGGGTACATGAGCTAGTGACTCTCTGACCTGGAAACAAACTTGAACTTTTGGACTGCACGATTGCTTGTGGTGCTAGTAGGTGGAACCAGGAGTTAAATTCCCCTCTAGATAACCCACCAAAATAAACCAGCCTCTATAAACGTGAATGTTTAGGTGGTTCGGAGGCTATTTGAAAGTTTCTAATTTTCTTTGGTTAGTGTTTTCACTTACATAATATTTTAAAATGCACTCCTTGGCTTGGGCTGCTTTCTGCAGATCTCGATGTTGGGGTTTGGTTTTTTTCCTTCTGGTTCTCTGAATTTCACACGTCGCTCAGTCTATTGGTATTCAGTCTGTAGATTCCAGGCTGCTTCTCACTAATGTGCAGTTGTTATTTTACGTACATATTTTTAAAACAAAAAATGTTAAGGTGCAGTCTAGAGCTCGTTAGAAGCTTGCCCATTAAATTGTATTTGTATTCATTCCAGCTGTCTGCTTGGTTTGCACTTCTTTTGCCACGTAGAGCCACAGTTGTAGGGAAGTATTATCTTGCATAAGGGATCAAGTTGAAAATTCTTTGAAGAAAGTATCTCTTCAAAATTGAACTACATTCTTTAATGGTGGCTAGTTCTGATGTTGAAGTGCTTGAACCTTCTTTAGCAACATTTGCATTAATCTCTGAATGATTGTTGGTCAGAACATCAGAGTAAAGATTAATTCTCTCGTTACTATTGGGATTTGACTATCACCAATATAGAATGATAAAACCTTCTCAGTAGATTATTTGTTTTTAGTGTGTATGAATCCCTGTTCACTTACATAATCTTCACTATTGTTCTAATTTGTGTAGTACTGTCAGGATTTTAAAATTTGTAAGAGCAACTGTAAAAGAACAATGCAGTACCTTAACTTTTTTTACATTCCCCTGGGGGAGTGTGAAATTGTTACCTCCAATATTGAAGCGATCGAGTAAGTGTAATCAGGTAAAGCAGTGGTTCTGTGTGTCACTGTTTGAGGTGTGTGGAAGTATTGCAGACTGGCACAGAATTTTGTAGATTTCTTATCTTCCCCTGATAATTTATTATTCCTGACCTTTAGACTTGTTTACTTATCCAATATAAATTATAATTATATACAGAATTATTTATGTATATGTGTGTGTGTATATAATTTAGGAAGTTGTAAAACACGTCAATGCATTTATTTTTAATGCTGCTTTTTTTCTTTTGTTATGATTAATCTTCCTTCTACCCCTCCCATCCCCAGGGTCAGTTAAGTGAGAGCATGGACCATGGAGGAGTTGGCCAATATGACCTGTAAGTTGCTGTTAGAAAATGTTCTGTATCATTCATGCCAACTACATATAACTTCTAATTTTGTTCCTTCGTTAAGTTAAATAGAAAATTTTGTCGTTCTTGTTTAATTTTGAGTTGTTTCTAGTCACCTCACTATTTCTTCACATTAAAATTTGTGAATTGTATCTTGAAATAAAATAATAATAATAAAAAAAATTCTGGCGAAACTTGCTGTTTGTCTTTTAATCCTTGTCTCTCCTAACACACCTCTTGTACTTGAATAGTATTTGCCGTATGACTATAACGCACTGTCTGCAGAACATTGTATGTTCTGTGCATTTTCTGAAGGCTGCAGTTGCAGATTTGCATAGCAATCGAGAATTCAGAAGCTCTGATTTGACATTCAGGAGGCAGCTACCTTCAGCGTTACTTCATTTACAGATTCCCAGATTGTTTCAGGATACCATGTTGTGAAAAGAAAGCTGTGATAGTTAAAACAGTTACATTTACTTTAGCAGGATCAATCTGTTGGTCTTTTGCAGAACTGTAGCATAATTTAGAAGCATCATTAAATTACGGATCAGTCTTTTGTGTCATGTTCAGGGTTGTGAGACATCTTTTCCTGCAAGACTAACCATGACTGTTGGGGCTGCTGAATGTGATCTGAAACTTAAACACACCTCATAGCCTTGCCTTTCCTTGAGGCCTTGTAGGAATATCTAAGTCAGTTTGAGGCTTTGGTCTTTTAAATTCAGTTCTGGTGTAATACAGTGATTTGTCGTGCATTAAAATGAAGGAAATCTTGATACTATAAATCCCCAAAATTTGCAGGTAATCTTTTCTGGGCAAGTTGCAACTTAGTGCTTTGCACATGCCTAAATGAAATTTCTGATGCTGCGAATTCTCCAGATCTCCAAAGCAGTCATTCAGTTGTGTCAGATGTACTCTGTGCTTTTCAGAAAGTAATTTGCTTGCTTACTTTCATTTGATCGTTTTTGCGTATCAGGTAGTCTTATATTCTTGTTTCGGTTTTATCCAGTGGCATGGAACATTGTGAAAAATTTGAGATTTCAGAGACTAGTGTAAACAGAGGTCCAGAAAAGATCCGACCCGAGTGCTTTGAGTTACTGCGCGTACTTGGCAAAGGTGGCTATGGAAAGGTAAGGAACTCTTCTACAGAAGTAAATCCGTTACACCGAAAGCGGTTAAAGTGCTCGCTCGCTGCCTTTGGCAGGGTCTAGTCTTCCCATCCTGTTTTTTGAACCCTACCAGAAGGTAACCTCAGGGCTGCCAAGGTTAGCGTCATGGGACTGAGGCAACTGGCAGAGTAGCAAATGTCACAGACTGGTTCTGGTTCAAATCACTAGCTCTTCTCCTTCAGGCAGCGTTGCAGTTTGTAGGTGATCTCATCTCTCCTTCGCAGAACTTGTTTTATTTTTTTTTAACTTACGACGGCTAACCTGGTCGTAATACGCGATTGCTTTTGTGTTGGTGTTGTGTAGGTGTTCCAAGTACGAAAAGTAACTGGAGCAAACACCGGGAAAATATTTGCCATGAAAGTTCTTAAAAAGGTAACCTGAATGTTCGCATTTCACTGCTATCTGAGTCTAAAAACATCTATCCCTCTATTTAGCTTTTACAATTAACTAATTATTTAATATGCCTAAAAATAAGCTTTATCATGTATACAGTTGTTATCCAGGTACAGTTGGAATTAGAATTAAACTTTAAATTGTTCTGGCTGTGTAGTTCTTAGCAGCCAATTTAAATAGGTCAGGGGATCCCTTCAACCCAAATTATTGTGTAGTTCTATGAAATAAATATAAAGACTTAAACTTCTGCAAGAAACCTCTCGTGTAATGTATATATTGTAGTGAAATTGTCTTTTTTTTTAAATTATGTTCCTGACTCATAGGTAGCATTGTGATTTAGTAAACTCAGAATCGAACTAAATATAAAAGTCTGCCTTGTTTAGCATGTTCTTGTGCTCACGTGTCTCTGCTTTTTGTAGGCAATGATTGTAAGAAATGCAAAGGATACAGCTCATACAAAAGCAGAGCGGAATATACTGGAGGAAGTGAAACATCCCTTCATCGTGGACTTAATTTATGCCTTTCAGACTGGTGGAAAACTCTACCTCATCCTTGAGTATCTCAGTGGTCAGTATACGAAATTCTGTTACCTGCTGCTTGGTGTCTTACATGATCGAGAATCTGGATTTCTTACTCTGCTTCTGAAAGGCCAGCTAACTATTGGCATGGGGTCTTAAAAATGTAAACCAGCTTAGTGTTAAAAATACATAGAATGACATAAACCTTCTAATTCAATACAGTAAAGATGAATGAAACATAAAATAGTTATTTTTCATGACAGTACAGGAGAGGAGCATTTTTAATACCTTTTCTTCCATCAGGCTTGTGATTCCTGTACGTTACGCTTAGATTCTATGTAGTCATATGGAGCACTCAAGGTTTTAGTCCTTGCAGGTTCTTTGTGAAAAAAGAGTGTGATATTTTTGTTTCATGGATAGAGGGAAACAGACACAGATTAGAAGCCATTTCCTCAAGCTAACAACAGAAAAAACAGGGACAGGAATGCTGTTGTGGTTTTCAGCATGCTCTTTTGATTTCTTTTGGCATTTTTTTAGGTTGCTAGAATTCTGAGAATAACAGAATAGTAAGTTCTTGGGTTTTTGTGAAACAACTTTTTGTAGAGCAGGACAGAAAACCTGTTTCTTACACTTCTACAAAATAAGACTTTTTGACTGACTAAAAACGATACTTTAATAGAGTATAATCTCATGACAGGAGGAGAACTATTTATGCAGTTAGAGAGAGAAGGGATATTTATGGAAGACACAGCTTGGTAAGTGAAACTATTTTGGTAAATTAATAGTTTTGGGGTTTGGGGTGTTTTTTGAGTGCTTAAACTGTGTGCTCTGACTGGAAAAAAAATGTATGTAACTACTCATTCATTTCATAGTCTAGTGAAAAGAGCAGTTAACTGGGTTTTGGGAAGATGTCTGTGTTCTGTACTTACTGGTTTGTGCTGGTGTAACTCCAGTCTTACTTCAGAAGAGGGTCCATTGCTGGTTGCTGAGTGAGGCTGTATTCCATAGGGTTGTGGTAAAGGAGGTGGTTTGGGTGTTGGAGAAAAAACTGTGAAAGACTTGCTATAAATGCAAATTTTTTTTTTTTCTTGATCCACACACAATTTTACCAGCCAGTTGCAGAATTTCCAAGTCACTGTGATGGCTGTGTTCTAATGATCAGATGTGCGAAGTGATAACGGTAACTTTTCTAATGAAGGAGTAGTGATATCTTACATGTAAACAAGTTGAAATTATCCCTTATTGACGAGGCCTCACACGGCTGCATACAGTTGTGTCTTTCCACACTGCATGCTGATAATGCCTCAGAAGGGCTTTAATGTACCTGGGGGGCTGTAGCGCTGTTCCGCAGATAGCGCTGCCCGTGCTGCTGTTACCTTCTCAGCTTCATTTTTTTTTTTTTTCTTCAACTGTGCCACCTAGATGTGGTAATACAGATTGAAGCATATTTTAACCACTAACTGGTAAACTCAGATTCCTCCAAATATATTCATCATAAGATAGCTACTGCACAGGTAAACCTCATGCTAATGGTTTCATTTTGGAGTCTGTATGCCTTTTGGCAATGCAGCCTCAAAGGGATCATTGTTTCTCTCATACGCTTCTAATGATACTTTCAAGGAACTGTTGCTACGCATGTAATAGTCTTAGTGCTTAAGATGCTTTGCATGATTGAATATGTCTAATTTTGTGGCATATGTTTCCTTTCAGCTTTTACTTGGCAGAAATCTCAATGGCACTGGGGCACTTGCATCAAAAAGGAATCATCTATCGTGATCTGAAGCCAGAAAATATCATGCTTAATCATCAAGGTAGAAATATAGTAACAGTTACGATGCCAGTCATTTGAAGACAATTCTTCAAAGGTCACAACAGTTCCCTCTTACGTGAATTTCCTTGGAACAACGGCATGTTCATTATCACTCTTGGTATAACTGAGGAATTGCTGAAGCTAATTGCTTGCCCTTAAATGCAGCTTCTTCAGATTTAACAGGCCACACAGCAAGCTTCAAGTTCCATGTGTGTAGACCCAGGCATTTTTTGAATGGTTGACTTGCTGTTTCTGCAGCTCTGGAATTTTTCTTCTACTGGGTTATTCTAAAGTGCATAAAGATCTGTGTCTTCAGTGCTAATCAGTGACATTTTAGTCACTTGGGATGACTGAAGATGTTAGGAGGGGCAATTCAGGTAGGATGCCAAACCATCTGTAGCTGAAGTGACTTGCATAGCTGTTGACACTTTATATGACAGTAGCAGCAGTTCCTGAACGCACTGTTATATTGACTGTGTGACACTGATTAGTCTGGCAATCTCTACCATCTGGTATTTTCATGTTACCTTAAAAACTTAGACAAAGTCTTGGTACTGAATTGTTCAGGGCACTTTACAGTTTGTTGAAGGATGTTCTCTGAACTTTGAAGCAAGCAGCCTACATGTGAATAAGCTTTGGTAGGTTGTCGTCTTTGTCTTCAAGTGGCAACACTTTCTTAGGCAGGTATAATGCAGAGGTTTTATTTGTAAGTGTGATTACCTCGTTCTGTTTTATAGCTGTACGGCTTTGTCAGACCATTGAAGATATCTGGAAGTAGTTCAGAGTTGTTACATATCTATGTTAAAAATTCCTGGTTTTTTAATGTTACTTATGCAGATGTCAGAATTCTGGCAAGTCTTAAATTTTATATATTTTAATTTCAGGTCACGTAAAATTGACTGACTTCGGATTATGTAAAGAATCTATTCACGATGGAACAGTCACACACACATTCTGTGGAACAATTGAATACATGTGAGCTGCATGATGAAATAGGAAAAGTATTACTCTGGTCTGGGGGTAATGGCTAAATTTTGCCTTTTTTACCTGATAGTTCATATGTTCAGTCACTTATGGAAATTTGACTTGATAAATGTGGTTTTACTTGAAAGCTAGTTGTCAGAATTAGTATTAAGCTTGTTAAAATAGGTTCTTTTCAATTTTTCTGATTATAGGGCCCCTGAGATCTTGATGCGGAGCGGGCATAATCGTGCTGTGGACTGGTGGAGTTTGGGGGCATTAATGTATGACATGCTGACTGGAGCAGTAGGTGCACAGTTATAATTGCATGGATTTCTCTTTGTAGCTTTTGTAGTTACCTGAATTCTCGTTCAGATGCATGAGTAAATACATATGTATTTGTATCTATACAAACTGCGAGTAAGAAATAACTAAGATATGGCTACACGTCTGTTGACTACAGTCATGAGCTGCTCTCATCCAAACAGTTACTTGGATGTCCCATTTGCAGCAATTTTATCTGCTTTATAAATTACTGAAGTGAGTTCTGTGTACACAAATAAAAGACCTGAACAAGTCCTGTTTTTCCTCCCATTACAATGGTGCTTTCTAGCCTCCTTTCACTGGGGAGAACAGAAAGAAAACAATTGACAAGATTCTCAAGTGTAAACTCAACTTGCCTCCCTACCTCACACAAGAAGCCAGAGATCTGCTTAAAAAGGTAGAATTTTAATGAATGTCGGTACTACACGTGTATGTAGAAAATAGAAGTATAATGATATGACTATGGCTATTCAGTCCATGCTTGTATTACTGCTTGTAAGTCGGTATTGGTTTTGCATGGTACAGAAAGTGATTTTCCTTGAAAATACAATCATTTTCTAACGAATGCAGATTTTCTGATTGTTCTGTGTCCATTCTGCTTGGTATTAATTCAAATGAGGATTCATGTCAGAAGTAGTCTAGTCATAATGGTATAATTAATTATGGTTTTTTAATGTTATTTCTCCTTAAGCTGCTAAAAAGAAACGCTGCCTCACGTCTAGGAGCTGGTCCTGGAGATGCTGGAGAAGTTCAGGTAACTTTTTCTTAACTCAAGAATTCTTAAATCACCTCACTGAAAATAAAACCGCTTTGAGGGGACATCACGGAAGGACAGTATGTCTCATCTTGAAGTGTAATGAGCAAAAAGGCAGCCACACGTGACAGCTGATCAAAATTTGAGTGCTTTAAAGCTTAATGAAAGCAGCTGTCTACCTATGTGATAATTTGAGACTTAAAAATAACTTTTATTCTTCAGCTCTGTCTTCCAGTAGATCTTTTCTACTAGCTGCACAATGCTAATTGTACAGTCAGCCATATAAGAGCGATGATACTCTAGCAGTCTGACGAAAAACCTGGCAGCCCTTGCATTTAGTGCAGCTTTTTCAAGGGAAAAGTGTTGTTAGTTTGCATTCAGGGTTGCATAGCTAAAAGTTAAGGCAGAGGCCTAGTTCCTGTTGCTTCCAGCTTGGCTTTTTTTGTGATGAGATTAACAAGGTACTAGAGAGTCCTCTTTATTTCACAGTTCTGCTAATTTGTCATTAATACAGTGTTTTGTCATTATTTTTAGATACCTAACTTAAAGTTGAAAAATGTAGTTATTTTGCATGTAAACTGGCTTTTTCTAATACTTTCAAGGAAGACATGATAGGGACATACGTTGTCTGACTTAGAGGTATGGTATCAATTTTCAGCTCTTCCAGCTACTCTGATGTAGTGCTGCAGAATGTATTACACAAGACCCATATGTGATTTTTGGAAAGAAGGACACCACAGAGAGAGTCTGAAAAGAACATGCTTATTAATTCTTAAATTTCTGTGATTTATACCCAGAAGGTGGATTATGACTCTGTGCTATTGCTAACTCTTGTAGGCTCACCCATTCTTCAGACACATTAACTGGGATGAGCTGTTGGCACGAAAGGTGGAACCTCCTTTTAAACCCTTATTGGTATGTACTCAGAACACTGTGAGATATTCCTTGTATGCCTTTGGAAAGGTCTTAAACAATGTGGAATCTAAAACTTAGAAACATTCACTCTTACAGACTGAAGTGCTGTTGATTTCTGGTACTTTAAACTAGTTAAATGCATCAACTTAGGTTACTGGTTCTCAGAGTCATGCTTGTCAAATTAAAGATGGCAGATCTACCAGATCTACTACCTGATGCGGATTTTTTTTTTTTTTTTTTCCCTTGAGAACTGGTGCTGTATCAACAATTTAAAAAACTAAGTCTCCACACAGTACGAAATACTGGCTGTCCTGAGCATGCTGTTCTGTCTTACTACTCTGTGGTCAAGGTACTCATCTGTCACTGGAACAGGATCTTGCATTTTTTTTTACGTGAGAAGGTGGCAAAAATCAGCTAAGAGCTGATTTATCCTTCTTTTAAGTCTCCTGGAGGAAGAAAGTTCTGCTTCAATTTTAATTCCTCCTGCTTCTAATCTCTAGGTTATACAAACTTGCAAATGCACTTATCTCTGAATTTCTGTTTCTAAACATTACACAGTAAATCAGTACTTAGTTGAAACTAAGATGATAAATAGTTGCTAAGCAAAAGTAAATGAAGTCATCTAATAAAGCATTTTGCATGTTTGCTTATTAATATTTACAATGCGTCTTGTGCATTATAGGCAGCAATTAAAGTTTCCCTCAAACCAGTGATGTGATGAATAAGCCCCTGTTATCCTATCTTTTTATATTTTGATGGTGTGGGACGCCTGTCCTTTTTCCCCCTCTGGTACAGTTAGCTACAGCAGCAGTGGGTATCGCTACCCCAATAATTCCCAGCTACTAAAAATCTCACTTTAAACTGACTTAGGCATCACAAATGTTGAGCATACTACAGCATGGGGACTCGGACCTTTTTTTCCTCACCGTTTTGAAAGAAATTCAGAATGATACTAGACTGGTATTTCCAAATTAATTCTCTGAAGATAGTTTTGAGTTTTTCTGTTATTAGCAAATTTTATGAAACAAACCAGATGGTTTTTGAAAGCGTGCTTCCACGGTTGCATGAAGGCCTGCACAAATGAGTACATATTGCCTTTTTGGTTACACTTACGAATGAGAGAAGGGATCTTGGAATTATGACTGTTGTTCCTTGACTGAATATTCTTCATGGTCACTTATTCCAGAGTTGTCATCTATCCCTCACAATATAAACACTTCTGTATCTGCAAAAATGGGATGAAATTATCTGGAGAGGCTTCCAAAAACTAATAGTTGCAACTGTTCTATACTGGTTGTGACAAGGGCTAAGCTTGCAAGAAACTGGCATTGTATTTCTAAAAGTTTTTGTTTGTAATTTGAGATTTTTTTTTTTAAAGGCATCTTTTTAATTTGTGTTCCTTTTTGATCCATAATTTTTGCCCCTCCCCCTTGCCTTTATTTCTCAGTGTCAGTGCCCATAGTGACCTCCCACTGGCAGCGACAGGATTCCGACACCACTCCAGGGTTTTACTACAGCAGAGCTCTGCCAAAAACCTATGGAATGAACTCCATCCAGAGGCTACACTGATCACCGCTAAGCCATTTGGTTGATATCTGTAATATAAACCCTTAATCATTTTGTTTTTGCAAAGCAATCTGAAGAGGATGTGAGCCAGTTTGATTCAAAGTTTACACGTCAGACACCTGTTGATAGCCCAGATGACTCTACTCTCAGTGAAAGTGCCAACCAGGTCTTTCTGGTAAGTGAGCCAGGGACGAGGTATGTTGTGTTACTTGGAAACAGCAGGGCATTTCAGGTCAATGAATTCTACTGAATCTTACTACCCGATTCTTGAAGCAAACCGTTGTAATTTTAAATGCACATTCTGCAATGAAGGTTTGAAATGTTAAGGGCTTTGAAAAGACTTAGTTTGATTATTGCTGACGTTTTCTTTATATAGATAAACCAGCCAACAAATGTTGCTTACTTTCTGAAATGTCAGCATTCTAATTCATAGTTGCATTATGAACCCTGGACATGTGACTGCTTTCCTAGTCGTGCAGAGAGAACAATATCCGTTCTATAGATCAAAATTAATTAATTTGAGCGTGCCTGTGGGAATCTGTGATCTGAGTAATCTGGGGTGTGCAGGCACACGGGTGAGGAACTCCCTGAAGTCCTGCTGTTTGCTTCAGGAAGTGAGTAGAAGTTCATATGTCTACATTTATTCTCCTTCGTATAATTTAATTTACTCTTTCATGCCAATCATAACTGCAGAAGTGATCATAAAGGCAAATCTTGCCTGTAAGTTACAGTGCACTCATTCCTGTTTTGCAGGGTTTTACGTATGTGGCTCCATCTGTACTTGAAAGCGTAAAAGAGAAATTTTCTTTTGAACCAAAAATTCGATCACCTCGCAGATTCATAGGTAGCCCTAGGACACCAGTCAGGTATCTCTTTTTTTCTTTTCTTTTTTTTTGTAATACGCTTTTTGGCAAGTACTCGAAATTGATCTGCACTACAAATAAAAAACGCGGCCTTTCTTCTCAGTAAACCCATCACTTCCATTAGAAGTGCAGCATCGATCCTATTTTACAAACCACATTATTAGAGGCAACTCTATGGTGTTTGGCAGCACAAGAAGTTCTAATTTGCTTGCTATTCAGCGCTGATATGGCCTCACGGTCTGGTGACTGTGGTACACTGTTCCTCTAGAACTGTTTCAGAACATCCTAAGTACTTATGTGCCGCTAAAGTATCATGTTAGTACAGAGAATTCCCTCTGCAATCATCTAGAAATATATCCTGACTACTCAGATGAGACAATTTTGCTTTACAAGAGACTGTGGTAGAAGCTAGACATGGAAACTTTCTCAAACTTCTGGAAGTGGAAGGAAGAATTATAAATGCTTCTCAATAGGCATTTGAGCTCAGCTTCCTGCAGAGTAAAGGACATACCTTGGTGCTGTGTATATCTTCATCTCTGATTTTTATATTTCTTGTTTTAAAGCCCTGTAAAGTTTTCCCCTGGGGAATTCTGGGGAAGAGGTGCTTCTGCCAGCGCATCAAGTACTCAGACACCTGTGGAATATCCAATGGAGACAAGTGGAATAGAACAAATGGATGTGACAGTCTGTGGAGAGGCCTCAGCACCACTTCCAATCCGGCAACCAAACTCTGGGCCATATAAAAAACAAGCTTTTCCCATGATTTCCAAACGACCAGAGCACTTGCGCATGAATCTATGACAACACAATTTTTTTAAGTCTTTGAAGATGGAAAACAAAGAACGGACATAAGCCCCATTGAAGTTGAAATATGAGGGCTTGTATGGTTTACTTTTAAAAAGTGACAGTATCAAAGAGTCAGTCATTGCACAGAGCGACTTGGAAAGCAAAGCAAAATGGATTTTTTTCTGTCAATCAATGGTGCATAAAAAAACTTTAGAAAATGGTATTGCAGAACTCTAGGCACATCATCTAACTGATTCGCAGTGACATCTTCTCACCTTATCCAGGATTTTTCAACTCAGTAGCTTGAAACTGACAGTATTAAGGGTCAGGATGTTGCTTCAGAATCACTGGTCTAGTCGTGAATGTGTCAAGGAGGGTTAGCCCTTTCACTAGGCAAAGTATGAAATGCCTACATGCTTGCGTCTGAGGAATAATTAGCATGCAAGCTTGGTTAAGCTGTTTCCTACAATGGGGTGGAATCAAAGATGAAAGATAAAGTTAATTGGTATTTCACATTCAAAACATGATGAGTTTTTTTATATATATAAAAATATATATTTTTCAAATAGATTTTTTGATTCAGCTCATTATGGAAAGTATCCCAAAATTAAAAATGCAAAGTAATTGGTTGCTGTGAAGAAAGTAAAGGCTCTAGTTCTGATTCTTCTCCTCATGAAACAACCAATCAATAAGTGAATCACTCAATTACCAGCTTGGCAGTGTGGGGTGGGAGAGAACTGTTTCACTTGCTTACCCAGCTGAAATACCTGTTCCTGCAAAGACAAATGGATCTAATCAAATGGCAATGCTGCTATGTTCTAGGCTTAACTGGAAGCCATGGGCTCACACACATGTCCTGCTTATTTCATCCTTGTCCTCAGCAGACATTTCACTGGGAAACATCACTTTTGTATACACTAGTCCTTAGATGGAGACAGCTGAATACGTTCAGATTCTTACCCATAAAAAAGATCAGGACAAAGTGCATCGGAATACAAGGTCAGTAGAAACATACACAAAGTACCACAGGAAACATATACAAGTTCTACATAGTATAAAGAAATAAACCTTTTTGTAACCAGTGGGTAAGAATTTGAGGATTCTTTTTTTTTTTTTTTTTTTTTAAATAAAATTTTGCTTATGGGACTTCCCTGCCATTATACATTTCTAAATTCATCAACATTTTTTTCTATGCTGGGGCAATAAATTTGCTGATTGTATGAGAAAAGTGTTAAATGGCCTTTCAGTGAATGTCTTCCACAGTGGGTCAGAACTTTAGCAACTTAATTTAGGAAACATGTTCTAAGGACACTATTTATGCTTTGAAATTGTCACGATCTGTACAAATGACTTACAGGTACAAAGAATAAAATAAAGGTAACTTTACCTTACTTAAATACTTCCTGCCTTAAAGAAAGCATTTCCATGAACATAGCTGGTGAAAGGGTTAATATCTGCAGAGCTTTACACTAGTTAGAGTGTGTATGGTGTGTGCGTGCGTGTGTATATGATCATGCAACTGCATACAAGTCCTGTCACTTTTTGCCTGCCACACATTGCATTATCTTTAGTCAAACTGTGCAAAGTCTACTTCTAGTGTTTCACAACAGTAGGGATTTTTTTATAGATTCTGCTTACTCTGTGTATACTGAATCTTTTTGAGCCATAGGATCCAAGCCATAAAACTCTCTAAGCATGTTGAATCCAATCAGAGTGCTGTTTTCTAAAATTTGCAAGTTAGAAGGATTCATCAATATCTTCTCGATACTAACAAAGAACCAACAAAAAAGATGGTTATGACTGAGCAAAGATTAGTTGTTTTTTTTTTTTCTTCCTTCTAAGCCTTTTGTTGGAAAATTTCTTTTTTTAGTTTTATAAGGAAAATCAAGTTACCTTACAGTGACATAAATTGTACTGGAAGATAAATTGCCATTGTTCGTTTGGTAATTCTGGTGACATGTTGGGAAACTGAAATCAAAATGCTCACGTGTGTTTGTATTATGCATATTTGCAAATACTCAACACTTCAAGCAGTGCCTCTGTGCCACTTGCTAACATGGGTTTCCTAACATGTTTACTGAGCATAAAGGAACTTGGTTTAAAAAAAAAAAAAAAAGTAATTTTTTTTTTTTGAGGCAGATCTCTCTTGGTCCTAGTTACAGCTAACAGTTGCTTTTTGGTTGGCTGGATATAATTGTCCAGTAGAATTGGTTTAATATGGCTGGCAAGAATGGCAAGAGTTGTTTGTCTGAATTCATGGATTAATTACAGATACAATTCATCGGTTCTAAAAGTAAATTTCATGTACTGTCAATGTTTCATCCCATAGATTATAAGTTTAATTCCCTACCATAACTGTGAAACTTTTGGAGTGTGACTCGGACAGCAAGCACACACTATGCAATATGGTTTATCCTGTATTTATTTGTAAAAATATCAGACATAGATCCTCTATATATATATAATAGTGTCAAAATTACTAGTTGTGAACTAAGGGGAGTGGAGTTCTAGCTCCTGTCTGGCTATTTCAGATAAGTGCAGAATGCATTGAATATTGGAGAGCTTAACAAGTGCTTTCTTTTGTTCATTTAAAAATGTCTTAAATTTTTCATTAGAGTATAGAATCTTATTTTTTTTATTTTGTACAAGCTGCGCTTTTTTAATTATAATCACTGAAAAATTCACTATAATTTGATTTTATAGGATTTTTGTAGCATTACAAAAATATAGTAAAACTGAGGTTAATACCTGTTGTGGCTAACCGTATAAAAGTATTAAATCTTAAACTTGAACAAAAGTCATATTTTTTTTTACCAGATAAATAGGGAAATATTTTGTTCTGCAGGTCATTATCACAAAAGGTTTATAGGTCGGCTGTGTTACCAGCAGTTTTCCTTTTCCCATTCGATGCAGAAACTTTTCTGGTATAAGATATTCAGAATTTCATCATTTTTCTCTGTGGGAGTGATGCATACATTTGATGCCATTCGTGTACTAAATTGTAATTTTGGGAATGCTGGAATAATTCCTACCAAGACTGTCTTAATTGTGCCATCTGACATTTGAATGTCATCCTGGTATTAGCTCATAATAAAAGATTAAATGAGTCAATTGTTCTTTCGAATATCCCTTTTTTTTTGTCTTGCTATCTAAAAGCTGAACTGCTGGAGAACATTGAATATTTGAGTCCACTCTAACTATACAGTGGTTGTTTACTTTGGGTCTATTCTCTTTTTAATATTGACTCCCAACCTGCTCTCACTGTTCATCAAAAAGCGCATCATGCAGTGAGGGACATTACTGTTGTTCTTAGGACAGATGCTTGGGTTTTGGTTGGTTTTTGTAAAAATTCCGTCTCTACAGCAGGATAGTTGCTGTCTCATTTTCCCAGCTTGGAGGGAAATCCTTTACCCTAAGGGATAAAGGAGGAGGAGAACAAGGCAAATGACTTAAATATTCTGCCTGCAGATCCTTGATGAAGTACTGTATGCAGTTCCTCTGTATGAACTTCTACAGATTGTTCTCTTCTAGATTAACTTGGCTTTGTAGCTGTCTTCAAGAAACACGCTTGAGCTGCCTTAGTAGAAATAAAGGTAATCCCTCTTCTGTTTTTCATCTTTCACAGTTTACTGGAACTAAATATACTCAACTGCTGAATGAGATGGATGTGAATAGCAATGAAATGCAAATTTAAAAATCAGCTAATCCAAGTGACTTTTTTTAGGAAGTAGGTAGGCCCTAAGTATAACTGTGGATCCAAATCACTGTCTTTCATGTCAGCTTTGAAGTGAAAGAGAGGGAGGAAGAGCTCCACTTCGAACTTAAAGGATGTCTCAGATGCTAGTTCTGATCGGTCTGTCTTGCCAAGGGCTGGTACCTTCACCTAGGTTCTTGGGCTGTTAAAAAGTGGCTATTGATTGCCGTTTGTCATCCTCTTCTCTGTTCTGTCTCCTGCAGAGTCAGACATGTGCTGGGTGTCTGTGTCTGTATGTTTGGAAAGCAGGGCAGCTACCCTGGCCTGAGTGGGCTTGGTAAGGAAGAGTTGCATCTTAAAAGCATGATGCTGACAAGCGGATCAGAGAGGATGTCATTCATGGATGTAAGTGATGCACTTTTTTTCCCCTCTGTAACTAAGACGAGAATGACTTGTTTCATTTATGAAGTGTAAATCTAAATGGTTGATCAAAAATCTCTTTTTAGTTTGTTTTCTAATAAAATGTCTTTGATAATATTACTGGGTTTGGATAATTTTCACTTGATCTTAAAGGAAAAAAACCTCATCAACAGAGAGACAGAGTAAAAGACAAATTGTTCCCTGGCCCTATCTCTGACCAATATCCACCTTTTTCTAGTAAAGTGTTACTGCTGTGTGGTAGACAAAGACCAAAGATCAGCAACAACCCAGGGCTGACTTAAAGCGCTGCCACCATGTCTTGTTGTGCTCCATAAAATAGTCATGGTGAACTTTACAGGCCAGGTGACACTGTCGAGTTCTTGTGTTGATTTCTTTTTTTTCTTAACCACAAGTGTAATACTTCTACATCAGTTTCGTATTTTTTAGTAATAATGCTGGCCTTGCATACAGTCCTTGATGCCTTAATTCCTCAATGTACGGTATCTTTCTCAGATACTGAACTACCTGTTGAGGTAAGTAGTTTATGAATACTTTTGTTCTATAGCAAAAGAATATTTACTTCAGGTTCATTTCTTTCAAATTTCCCTGCATACTTTGAGCATATTGTGTAAAGCAGCATGTTTCCTGCTCTGTAACTACCTTCATCTTAGGTCTGCCAGTCCAAGCTGTTGGTCCTGACAGATTTGCACTGTCTGTAGAGTCTGTGACTCTGTTCTGTGCTGGAACAGCGAGCTTCCTTCTCACTATTCCCTGCTGCATTGGCAACAGGGAAGCTATTTACTCATCTTGGGCATAAGGCAGCCAGAAAGTGTACTTGTTTCTCAGCTTTTTTCCCTTAGCAGGGTAGTGGCTCTGCTTTCAGACAACTGTTTGTATTAAGCAGCTGGTGCATCTCGGAATCTGCACCTTCCCAGTTAGTACTTCAGGAATGGACTGGGTGATTCAGACGTACTGCTCTAAAAAGATTTTTGAAAGTCTGTCACAGAGTACTGGAGTTCTGATGAATGGCTACCCATTACTGGTAGGCATCGAATTTAATCTACGTTCAAGTATTAGGAAGTGCATTTCATTGCTCTAACATCATATCCAAGTGTAATGAATTTTAGTTTCTGTTTTTCTGAGAGGATTTTTGAATTAAAAATTGATTAAGCTCTTGGTATTAGCATTTCAGGAAAAGCTAATCCAGGATAAATTAAAATTTTTATTTTACCCAGTATTTTAGAAAGGGTTGGTTATTCTGCCCTCATAAACTCTGTATTGGGCTTAGACACGCATTTTACTTGCACAAACTAAGCCTTTTTTAAAGGTGCTATCTATTTGTTGACTAAATTAAATACAGCACTCTGATTGTTTCCACAGTACTCGCACAGTGTCTGTATGAATTAAAAAAAAAACCTTAAAACACTGTTTAGCTAAACTGCATGTTCATGATTAATTTTGGGAAAGTCTAAAAATGATAGTGTAAGCCAGTGAGCTGCCAGAGTCTCTGTGGGCCCATCAGAGATTAAGGATCCAACCTGAAGTTCCCACTACTCTCTCTTGTTCCTTGACTGAATCAGTTCCTGTCCGTCTCTCAAGGGAAGTTCTGCTGCAGCAGCAGTCTGAATATCAGCACTGATGAAATTTAGACAACAAACTGCTCTGATCTTGTATGAACTTCAAATGCAAGCTAAGGCCTAGCTAGAGCTCTCTGAGGAAACAGAGAGCAGTTTGTTCTGACAATACTGGAGGTACAGGCACAAGCCCGTTACAGCACAGCTCGGGCTGTGGCCAAGCTCTGATTCTTCCCTGCCACCCGCAGGAGTGCCCTAACACCATTCAGCTGCGCATTCTCCAAACTAAGTACCTCATCTCCTGGGAAAGGCTTCCCTGAGGACCAGTCCCTTCTACTCCCAAAGTTTCCAATTACAGACTCGGAAGCTTTTGCCTGGTTTCTTTAAGCTGGAGTCTTCTTTTCCCCAGTCACTCGGATACCACGGTGGAACAATCCTAGGGCACGTTTACTCTGAAC